AAATGCTAAGAAAATAGACAAAACACACGCAAGCATATATCGTGTGCTGCTGGATGATATTTTTGCCAACCGATTTTATCGTTTTGACAGCATTCAAAGATTGGTATCCTGTTGTATGTTTGACAGCAAAACTTTAATTACAGTGTTCGGGACTACACTACATTTACACAGTCACCTAAACGATTAAAAATACGCTTACTTTCTTCTCTAAATCCACATCCATTTCTAGCACCAGGAATGATGCTTTAATTCCCGCAGCCAGCGGCCGACCGAGCAGTTGGATAGATCCATTTCAATAAACAGCGCGAAATAATTGACGCTAGTGCCAATTACGCCATTAATTAACGATCGGGAGAAGCCTCACTATATGAACCTACTTCGGTACGGCACGATCGACCACCATTGCTCGGGCAGTAAAAACTATTTGTTGGAAAATTAGAAGCAAACTTCACGTGGGATCGCGCCTATAAGCTTTATGGCTTTATATTCTCAGCATCCCTCCCGCCGCGGCGGCTACCCACCGACCACCGTGGATCAGCATGATTTTACGGCTTCTCATCCCGGGATGCGTACGATATCGGCTGAAGAGGCACATTTCACACGGCACTTACCCGCCGAGGGTCGTAATGACCTTCGCCAGGGAAAATTGCAAATCCACTACCCTTCTCGAAACCCCGGCCAATAAGTTCGTTACGCGGCGCGTACTTAAAATTGTAATTAAATTAATGCGGGATTAACTTTACTACTCATCTCGCGTTAGTCGAGTGGTCTAACGGTTTCCTGTATCGTGAAATATCAATCTCAGTTGAGTCAGAGCCTACTGCCAGCGTTGTGGGTTGCTGCAGCCATGACAGTGCGCCTTTTTTTCTGCACAAAGCAGCCATTAACAACAACGACGACAATAGAAGAGTTGGCGTTGGCGTGATGAAATCATCATCATCATCATCATTCTGATTCCATTGCCAAGTGCGAGGCTCCTCACGAGGTCGATCAATTGCGATATCGCTATTGTCATACGGTCAGAGGTAAATGAACTCCCGGCAATGTGTGTCTAGCGCACTGCGTTCAGTGCTAATGGGCGGCTGCAGATTCTCATAGAGAGGGGGCAGCACCGGCGTCGTTGTCGTCGACGACAACGTGCCTGGTGACACCTTAATGGAGATGGGAATTTTCATATAAACAACAAAATTATCATACTTATTACAGTGCGTTTGCTTCCTCCCGCGGCAGACCAGGGAAAGGCACTCCCATGAGTTGTCTAGCTGCTGGGAATCCAGTTAATCCCGAGTTATAATTTGTTTACAAATTCCCCTGGACAGTAATGGGCTCGCGCGTTCTGTTTTTTTCTAACGCAGCCCATAAAAGTCAAATAAATTTAATTGTTAAATTGTGCCCTACCCACGGCTCTCGGTACGCGGAAGCAGCGAAACAACAGAGAACGAATGCTGCAGCATTGTACAAACAAGCGAGGTAAAAGCACAAATTTAAATGGAAATAATGGCTCAGTAAAATAGGCAAATGGGAGTGATGATCCGGATGATTAACTTACCGATTCATGTTTCCAGCGCGGACCGTGTGGAAAGCGGAAAAGCGAAGGTCTCTCTTTCGCTCTTTCACTTCGGAGGAGCAAAGAACGTATTAAATAAAGCAAGCCATGGCTGGTGGAGGAGCTCCAGTAAAAACGAGGCTCTTCTTATCCATTAACTGAATCGTTGGCAGCGTTCCCGATTGCGCTGGTGTCGTAGCCTCTCCTGACATGGGCGTAATGAGTTTTAACAGTTATAAGGTTAGGTTCAACTTCTTTCGTGAGGTGGTGAGCGTGGAAAAATATCCAGCATCATCTGACAACAACAGCGACGTCGGGTAGGGTTGTCCTTTTGTTAACACTCCGAACACGATGCCTCCGGTAAAATGTGTAACGGGAAACTTGCAATTGTTGGAAAATCATAGCTCAAGCTTTTGTTGACGAATTTAAAATCTGTTTGCGATATTTGTAATTACAGACTTTAAAGATTTATTCTACATCAATAGATTTAAAATCTACAGATAAATTACGGAGCAATGATTTTTCAAACATTGCAAATTTGCCATTACACATTCTGTTGTTTCTGTAACCGAAAGGTTTTGTGGAATGATTTTATTCTTAGCTTACTTTAATGCATAAAGAGTTAGGAAAACAATTTTTATGCATGGCGTTTACAACACCTCGAAGCACAATGTACTTCCGTTCTGATAGGTCCAGATCTACAAACAGGGCTGGAGCTTGAGCAGGACTTAAGCATTTGTTGTCGTCTTTAGCTCGAATGAAAGAATTCGCAACACGTCGTTCTCTTGTTTTAGTTGAGCATATTTCGATCATCCTTTGGATATGATTTTTGGAGAATAATTTTTTTACTAACTTAACGATCCGATTGAACAAGAGTAAGGCAAAAATTAATCCATCTCGACAAAAAAAATCTAAATGGAAGTAGTTCAGCAATTAATTTTGCTGGAACTCGATTCCAACTTTTGAGTGTGTATCAAATAAACATAGAACTTCTTTTTATTCGGTCTGATGACCAACCGGCTCAGTAGCGGCTTAGTGGCTTTTTAAACGTTTATAACCGGGAAAATCCAGGAATTAAAAAGTGACCACCCAGATTGGAGGAATGCAAAAAGTACTACTTCTCCATGTTTCTCTACCTAGACAATAAAGGGCAACCCTGCTGTCGAGGACGTCATTGGATTTAACGCGGACGAGTCTAATGATGGAAATGAAATAGCTGAGCAGTTGACAGATGTGGGAGTGCTGTGACCGCACTGTTGCCAACTAAACGAACAGTGGTGTTTAGCTCAAGAGCCATGTTTCTAAATGTTCCCGTAAAAGATAAGTCCGTTGACATTGAACCTGGATGGATCGTAAATTTTACCTTTCTTCTACCGCACTGCTGGAACTTTGCGCAGTGTAATGAGGCCGTAATATTCGAACGTAATTGCAAAAACACACACACTATTTGCGACGACGGCGACGACGTTGATCCGCCGATGGCGGAGATATGTGAGAAAACGCCGACGACAGCTTGCGGTTAAATGTGATCAAATTTGTCAAAGATCAGTGAGAAAATTCGCTTTGCACACGTACGTATTTATAAACAAGTTGACTGATTGTGAAAAATGAGAAAGAATAGCCCGCCAAGGCTGCAGCGGGATTTTGAATGAGCTCGCCGCGCTGTCATACTGTCAAATCAGTTGATCCCTTCAGAAATGTACCGCTAAGCGCCCCACATGCGGGAAATGCAAAGTGTGCACCGGGGTGAAAGTTCTTTCAACTGACCGGGATTAGATCGTTGCCAATTACGTTTGTGCGGCGGTCTATTCTTCGCAACGAGAATCACCATTTAAGCCCTCTCCGGGAACAGAGAGAAAGAGGTTCCGACCTATAACTGTGCGACTGTGATTTATATCCACTCGCGTGGATCCGTTGTTAGTGTGCAAGCTCACGGATTGTGAGCATTATTCAGCGATGTTCTCGAGCCGTTTGGTGATATATGGCCGCGGCCCGCGATCTCTGTGATTTCTCGCTTGATCAGCTGAATTAAATATGCGCGTACGCCTCTATTGAGCTCGCGCGCGCGGGGCACTATTTATGGCCTTTTTTTTTCTCCGGATTCTCGGCTCGTTCTCCACGCTGGAGCGAAGCCGTTCCTCTTCCGGTTTATTGAACGCCCCAGAGTCCACAGCCGTTGCATAATAGTATATCGTTGCGCTGACACACCGCTCCGAGTAGGTACACAGTGACTCGCTTCGACCCGGTTGAACTGGTTTCGTTCGCTGATGGGTGCTGAGGCGGCGAGGGTGAGGGCGAGGGCGAAGACTGTTGTGTTCGGTTGGGTTGGGCATTGTGTGTGACATTACGCCTCTTCTCATCGAACCGAGATCGGCGCGTCGCGAGAGGTAATTGCAATCGCGCCTCAAGCTCTCTACTGCAGCACCGGTCGTTCACCTTTGTCACAGTTTTCCACACAGAAGAGTTAACGCGGCAACGGGACCTGCAGTGCAACTGCATCTTGCCAAACTTGGCTTGTCCCCATCTCGCCAAGATCGTCGACGTCGTAAAGCAATTATCAACGCACGGCGAGAATGAGCTATATAAATTTAATTACTTTCAGTAAATCATTGCCCTGCAGGGCGAGCCCGGACAACACAAAATCATAAACTACCCACCACTCGGGGCTTTGCCCTGTGGAGGAAACCGAGAGATGCTGGGTAGTTAATTGAGGAAATTGTAGTGAGGGCACTTCCTCTGGAGCTTTTTGTCTTCAAGGTGCAGTACGCGGGCAACAATGCATCGATGCAATTCTTCCCGGGCAACATTGACGTTGATGATATAATCGAAAAGTGCAATGACCAATCTTAAAGATGTTCTGCCTCCGTGCACCGAAGACGACCGACTCGCTGCTGTTGTGCCATATTATGATCGCCGCTGGTCGGATCGGGACGTCCGATCCCATGCACAAAGCGCGAGTGGGAATAATTCAAAATAAATCACTTTGGTGTGTACTTGAGTTGATGACTCTGCGTGATCTCCTTCGCCGGAGAGACTCTCCAGTCAGCAGTGTTGTGAGGCATGGCAAGTATGCAGATTTACCCCGTTCTTCCTCCTCGATCTTTTCCCATCCCGAACATGACGGCGGCAGCAGCGAACGTGACCCTGTAAACATTGAACGAATTCCAGCCCTGCTTGGGCTGGATCCGCACCGCGCGCTCGTCGTGATCTCATGGGTGAAGTTGATTTTACAGTTATACATGCCCCGTTTGTGAGAGAAGCAACTTCTCTTCCTCGGGTTTTGGATCTGATGCTGGACAACCTGGGTGACCGGGTGGATTGAACCGAGAAAAGCGAACTAATGCTGACAAATAGCATGATCGATTCGAAACGCTTGCCATTGCCATTTGCACCAGTTGATTAGCTTTTGTAAACAAACAAGTAACTGATTTACTTTTCTCTCTTCTCTTTGCAGATATTCATCGTGTCTAATCTTAAGGATACATCTTAACGATACTCCTCATCGAGCAATATATATTGGTAGTTTTATCGTAAACTAGACTCGTAAGCGCACTGCAATCGTACTCTGCACGGCAACTGCAATCACCTTTACCGGAGCGACTAGGCTGTCAACTCAACCAAATATTAAGTTATATAAATACACGCGTAGTTAAGCAATCCCGATCCGTCCAGAATGTTACCAAGCAACCAACATCAGCATCCATCTTCCCAGCAGCAGGCGGTTTCGCAAGCCGACCAGCAGCAGCAACATCTGCTCAACACAGTAGGCATGAGCGGCGCCTACACGACAACATCGACCAGCTACAGCATGAGCTACCCTTTAATGAGCGGCCACCATCTCAACGAAAACAACAACCTTGTGATGCATCCATCATATGGGAAACCGGCGGCACATGTCGCCCATCAGCTTCCACCGGCATCGCTCATAACGCTGCAGCCGGTCCCACTGGATGCCCACCACCCTTCGCTGCATCACGTGTCCGGTCTGGGGCAGCAACCATCGCACACGATCACATCGCTGTCCCAGTCACAGGGGCACTCGCAGCAAGGACTCTCCGGTATGTCTCACCCTCATCAATCATCCGGCTCGCACATGTCGCCCGGAATGTCCAGCCACTCGTCCTCGATGAACGACCCAAACGGTAATGATGGTAGGTTTTTTTCTTGAACCGGGTCCCAACAGGATCAGCGTAAGTGGTGCAAGCGAACCCAGTCTTTCCTTACAGGTCGATCATCCGGTGCCAAGGTGAAGGTGCGGACAATCATCCCGGAACACTGATTCTGTCTGGTTTGCAACTAACGATCGAGGCGGGGTCGAATAATTTTCCGGAAAAGTGGTTGAATTATCAGACAACTGTTCATTGTTGGCCAACAATGGGTGTTAGCAGCAGGGTTGCTTCCACTCACTTACTATAAAAACTTGTTTTTTTTTATGAAATCATTAGGTGTTGTATTGATATTTTGTACTTGTACACACTTAATTTTGTTTGGCGAATCTCGGCTATTTTTGCCGAGATTTGCACAGCCAAGCTCCAGGCACACATATTTTACCGAGATCTCAGCAAAAGTGACGTTTGGTTGCTGAGTCTCGGAAAATGTTTTGCTAAGTCTCAGCAAACAAACGTCATGTTTACGGAGATCTCAGTACAATTTAATGCCGAGCACTCAGCTGTGCAAATCTCGGCAAAAAATGCTGAGCTTGTGAAAACGAAACCAAGTGTGTTTATTACAATAAGAGGTTGTAAAGTATGTGTTTGACTCATAGAACCTGTCAATTTCGCTTCCAGAGCGTCACAGCTAGCGATTGTATTGTACGTGAGCGTTCACTCAGAGTGAGCGCTCATGAACAGCGATGGAAAATCATTTACATTCATTTCGTGCATTCATTTACATTCATTTGCCTCTAACTTTTTTTTTATCAACAGAATACCGTTAAATGATGTATGAAGCTTTTGTAGCTTTTGATTTTAACTACAACTTTTGTTTATAACTAAAATCTGAATATCTTATGCATGATGAAATAGAGCTTGCAGAACATGTTATTGTTTTTCAGTGAATGCAATTTACATTCACTGAAAAACCATGGTGGGTTCATATAGCTCTAATTCATCATGCATAAGAGATACAGAGAAGTTGTTTACAAAAGATGTAGCTAATATAAAAGCCAACAAAAGCTTGAAACACTATTTTACGGAATTCTGTTGATGAAAAAAGTTAGAGGCAAATGAATGTAAATGAATGCACGAAATGAATGTAAATGATTTTCCATCCAAGCTCATGAATCGTAATATCGCTGATAATGACGCTGTGAAAGCAATATTGACTGGTTTTATGTGTCAAACACATACTTTGCAACCTCTTCTTGTAAGATACAAGTTCTAATTATCATTGTAACATCGAATGATTTCATAGTTTCGAAAAACAATTTTTTATATTAAGTTAGTGGAAGTAACCCTGTCCTGGAGTATGCAATATTGCATCGATTTTTGAGACCTTTTTGCAAGTTGATGTTCTCGTTTACATTCAAAACATATTTTCCATGCAAAAACGATTAAGTGGTTTGGAAAATACGGTTCGAACGAAAACGAGAATAAGGGTGATAGTATTTGAAGCAAATATTCAACTTGCAATAGGCACTGCTTAACTTTCTTGCAGGAAGCACGCATCTTGACGTTTCGGTATTCGTCTTATTCTGCGAGGTGAGGTGACAACAGTCGCTTCGTGTGACCTGACTTTCCATTTGATTTGCAAGGAGACTCTTATTACACGACGTGACTATATTGTAACCTCACTAATGAGTGAGAGTCGGCTCAGATCAATCGCTGCACAGAATAAACAAATCTAAAAAAACTAATTTTGGCGAGATTTGCACAATAAAAGTGACGTTTGGTTGCTCTTAGCATTGGAAAATGTTTCACTGAATTTCAACAAGCTGGCGTTATTTTTTGAGCTTTCTATTAAACTTGTTGACAGGCACTCGGATGAGGAAATCTCAATAAAAAAAATCCAGTGTTGAGGGCCACAACCCTACAAAAAAAAATTAGCTGCAGACCAGCTTATACAGGAAAAATTAGCTCTATGAGCTACTTTTTGCCAGTATAAGCTTATCTGCAGCTAAAAGTGTTAGTAAGGAAATCTAAGTGTATGCAGAAATTAAAACTGTCTTCTTCCTTTTTACAAATCTACACACTTAGTTTTTTCTACCGAGCTCGGCTGTGCAAATCTCGGCAAAAATAAGTTTCACTGAGATTTCAGCAAAAGTGACATTTGATTGCTGAGTCTCGGATAATACTTAGCTGAATCTCAGCAAACAAATGAAATGTTTGCTGAGATCTCAACAAAACTTTTTTTGCCGAAATTTGCACAGCCGAGCTCGGTAGAAAAAACTAAGTGTGTAGTTTAGTTTTCCTGAACTCGATAAAATTTTGCCGAGATTTGCATAGCCGAGTGTCCAGCAACAATTTCAACTAGGATTTCAGCAAAACTGACATCGAATAAAACTAAGTCTGCGCGATTTTGTGATTTTTGTGAGATTGATATCTCAATGTTCACATTTCATGCACACTTAAATTTGCTTCCCTCAATATGACAATTTTTTGTTGAGATTTGTACATCCGCGAGCTAGACGAAAAGCTTGCTTGCTGAGATATTAACAAAAATGACGTTTGCTTGCTGAGGTTTAGCCAAACATTTTCCCAGACTCTGCAACCAAACGTCATTTTTACATAGATTTCAGTAGGTATAACTCAGACGTAACGTTTTTAAACGGCACAAATTTGTTTGTAAATAAAACTTGCAAGGCCCTTCCACGCGAAACGAGGAACGCCCACGCAAACCAATACCACTATCGGAAAGGTAAACATTTCCTCTACCCGATGATGTTGGTTTGCGCAGACGTACTTCGGTTCGCATACAAAGGACCTTACAACTTTTGTTTACAAAAGCTATTGTGCCATTTTCAAATATTACGCGAGACTTGTTTGCCAGGAGCTCCTCTGAGCAAAACTCGTCTTGACAACCAAAACAATTTGTTAAGCATTTTGTATTTTCTTTTCGGCGAAACCTCAAAATACTAGCGTGATTGATGTCAGGCAATTGTTTACATGTCATATTCGCTAAATTTTCTTTTGCAAATATTGGCAGTTTTACACCGATATTTATAAAACCAAGTGCTCGGCAGAGTATCTTTCAAGCTTTACTGGGACTTTTTCAGCAAAAATGATGTTCGTTTGCTGAGATTCTCACTGACCATGTACTGTGAGAGTTTATTCCATGTTGTTTATGGACTTCTTAAACTTCCTTTGGTTTGCCGAATCGCTAAGATCTCAGTAAAAGTAGTGTTTGGTCTCTGAAAATGTTTCGCTGAATCTCAACAAGCAAACGTCATTTTTTGCTGTGATCTCTTGTAAAACTTATTGCCTGAGCCGGAATTCCGCGAATCGGACAACTATATCGGAAGTCCATATACAACGTTGAATAAAGAATATTGACAGTACCCGGCCATTGAGAATAACCCTGAGAGAGATAGAGAGAGATAGTTACTTCTACTCAGAGGTATGGAGAAATTTCTAAAAACTGCAGAAACTCTGCGCTGAGTACCTGCAATTTTTAGAAATTTCCCATACAACTGAGTAGAACTGACTCTTTCTCTGGGTTATTCTCAATGACCGTGTAGCCAAAATCAAATTTAAATAGCATTTGCCAAACTTCAAATTGTGTGCCTCCTATCAGATAACTTTCCAATTCCCAGTCGCCATTAGTGTTCAAACAAAAATCTTGATCATTATTTCAGATGAACTTAGCATTTTATGTTCTGATAACAGCTGCTTCATTGATGTTGTTTCCCCCACTAAAACATACGAATGAAGCAAAATTTTTAGTATTTCACAATGTATTTTCGCTTTTATTCAATTAGCGAAAGAAGGTCTAACAGGCACCTGTGGAGTAGAATAGTCCAACTCGGTGATCGCTTTACCAATCTCAACTCGTGAATATGGTGAGCATCATAGCTAGTAACTTGAACTAATATGTCTGCATAAATAGTTCCTGAACAAGAAATGAGTAAACTGTGACGTTGGGCCATTTTACGCCGTGGTGCATTTAAGCCTGTTTTCCCTGCTCGAATCAAAGTAAAAATACATTTTCAAATGCTTCAAATGTACGATCTAGTTGGAAAAACAAATTCAGCAAAGCAGATTCTATCAAGTCATAAAGTGAGATTTCGAAAATTTCGTCCATAACTTGGGTAAACAGTGAACAGTTTTCCAAAACCGCAGATCGGACAATTGTTTGACCCATCCGATAGGAAAGGCTAGTCAGGCGGTAAAATCCGAGGGATTCCTTTTCACCGACAGTGGCTTCCCGAAATGGACGCAAACACAAATTTGTATATAGCGTGCTTTCAAGCGTCCCATTTCGAGCCAGGTTTCCACTGTCAGTAAAGGGATCCTTCGGTTGGATCCTCATATTTCGCTTCGCTCGACGGTCGACGACGCTTCAGAGATGCGGATTATCTTACCGTGCGCCTTATGCACTTGTCCGTCCGGCGAGCCTCCTTTGTTTTTCAAGGTCTCAAACTGTCAGAACCACCGTGATCTGGATCAGCATCAACAACAACAACAACAACAACATCAACGGGCCAATTAGCATCCATCGCCAGAAGAGTAGGTTGCGGTAACGGATTACGCCCGTCCCGTGGAACACGAGTCTCTAATAACCATTAATCGGACTAACTCGGCATGACCGTCATCGCATGTGTACAGCAACAACGACTTACCTACCGACTTAACTTCATGAGACTGACACTAACTAACCGACTAATCCCCCACCCCCCAGGAGCGAGAGAGAGAGAGAGAGAGAGAGGCTTTCGAATCGTTATCAATAAAGCATAAAATGGCAAAAGGTCAATCGCTTCATTTGTGCCATACGGCAACAACGTGGTCCGAAGAACCGTTGTTTCAAGCTCCGTTTCTGGACCCCTTCAGGGTCGATCGGAGCTCTCAAATTAGGCGCGTAATAGTTTGGTTTATTGGAAACCCTTCGGAGGCAGCCAGGCAGAAGAAGCGGATTCGCGGAAACCGATTTGCGATTTCTGCGAACTTGCCGAGAACCGGGGCTGTTCCGTGCCGAATTTGCCCTCAAGGCGAGAGAGTTTGAAACTGAACCCCTCTGCACGTGGTTCGTGATGCATTTTCTTTACTGTTGCGCACGGGAGAAAGGGACGGTATCTAATGTATTCCATGCGCCACTGCGCGGTCAATTATTACCATAAAGATGCGATAACAGCAGCCCCAGCGGTAACTAACGAGCCTTGTGCCTC